AGCATTGCTGTTTGTTACCAGCATATAGCATTGCTGTTTTGTTTACCAGCGTATAGCATTTCTGTTTGCCTACCAGGGTATAGCATTGCTGTTTGTCTACCAGCGTATAGCATTGCTGTTCGTCTACCAGCGTATAGCATTGTTGTTTGTCTATCAGCGTATAGCATTGTTGTTTGTCTACCAGCGCGATTCCTCAGATCTAGTATATACCTCACAAAACAATGCGGTACATCCACCGTGTTTCTAAAGAAACCGGCAGTCTTTCATGTTTGATTGGAATGATAATATGTAACCAATTACTAGTACTTTTCGAGTCTAAAAACTTTACTGTGAATACCACGATTATTCCTACATTTTATCCCTTTACATGTTGCAACTCGTTCTACGAGGTTGCGCTTTCTTTTTTTTGTTCCAAGATGTCAAGTAAATGTCAGAAAATGTTCACACTTTCCTCGTGTACTTTCTCTTTTTAATACAATGTAAACAAATGATACAGTTGATATTTTTATGAATTTTATTAGTTTTTAAAAACAATGTAGTCCCTTTTTAGAAAGTATTTGTTTTGCTATTTGTGATATTTAATGTTTTATTTGTGAACTTGAAATGTTTTAAGGTACAAATATTTTATAGGGTTTTTTGTCTGTTGGTTGTAACTCAATGAAATGAAAAAATAAAATAACTTGGTAACTAATGAGGGATGCGCTGAATTATTACATACCTTCAATCTTTCACAGTTATCGGATATTCATGTTGTTTTGATAAATTCGTTTATTATAATATTACACCAATCTGGGAATGTGTTGGTTAACATTTTGTGTTTATTGTGTATTTCTTTATTCAAATTTCGTAAATATAATCAGTTCTCAGCAGACCGTACTTACTTCAAAGAAAATAAACTCCAGCTGCCGTTTGCATTTTCCGCGTAATGAGAGCGCCATCAACATGAGCTAGTTCTACGTCCTTTCCGTCAAGTCAGTCAAAGACCTTTTGTATTCAGCGTGGAACTCTCGCTTTAATTACATACAGTCAGTTGAATGTAGGAACATCTAATCCAACGTATGGTATTTTCACTTGCCATATGCTTTTAATTTTAAAAGCTCAATAAAAAATAAAATAGAACAAATCACACATCACGTGTTTGAAAAGAGGGATTTCGTAGTAATTATTTTTCAATTTACTGGACTGATACACCGACAGATTTGGCTTATATTATATTTTTGAAATTGTCAACTAAACTCCACTTTAATGCACCGCACGTGTTAAAACACCAGGGCATGGTTTTCACAACTATGCGTGATAAAAACCTTTTCTGTACTGGAATGTTTGAGTTACGCAAAGACGTGTACCATTCAATAAGTCTAAGGTACTCTGTGGTGTAAGCCATTAACACAATATTTCTACGTCATCAACAAGACAAGGAAATTTAACACAAATGACATAGCGTTATTATTGTGGTTTTATGAGTCCCTAATGATTCATGATTTGACGACTATATTGCCATAACGAGTTGAATTGGCAGTCGATTTACCCGACAGAGATGAAAGCACCGACGGCACTGTTTTTGTTTTATTTCCCGCTCAAATGATTGGACACTGACCATAAAATAAGACAATTTTGATAGCATCCTTAGATCGAATCGTGCGTGGATGTGGAAAATTAACTCAATATTGATTGCAATTTAGTCATGCCTGCTTTATTCACTAATTTGCACATCGATCAGCATTTCAAGGTTCTATTGAAATTGCTAAATATATATAAAGAAACATAATGGCACTGTCTGCCGCTGCGAATCGAACACAGCAGACCACATCGAGTCATAACTTACAGTTTAAATTATAATCAAGTGATTTTCCCCGAGACATGATATTTAATAAACCAGTTGAGAATATTATGCTTATCTGTTTTACAAATCTTTTGAAAGAACACTAACATTTTAATAATGATTTTTACGATAATGTTTACTCGACACTCTTTATTTAAGAGCGCCCTCTATTGACGCTGCTTCTATGACGATGTATGTAAACGCTTGAACAGCAAAGTCAATGGGTTCTATGTCCGACAACTGTGAAGATGATGCTAAGATCTAATAATGAACCACATTACCCAAATGTATCATAACTGAAACCGGTTCACACAACTTTTGACGTGCGTGTTAGTTCGAACAAACAGTTCACTAAAACATCTATGAGTTTGCTTGCATTTTATTACCAAGTACCAGCAAATTGTCATCGCTGTGTCGAACAAAAAAATCATTCTCACTACACACTACAAACGATTATTTTTTTTCGACAGTACATGTGACCTATACGGATAGCAGTTTGTCCAGCGACTATTCGACCTTAGCTACACAGTGAATACTCA